CCAAGTTCGAGTTACGTACTTTCTCCAAGAAGCTCAGAGTTACGTAGTTTGTCCAAGTTCCGAGTATCTAAGTACGAAAGGGAAGTATCATATTAGAATACCAATGGTCGAGACTATTATACATATTAAATATCTTTCATTTTATCGTAAAGTAGACTTTGGTCCGCGAACCGGTCAAGCCACTCTGATTTCATTTGTCCTGGTCACTTTATGAAACCACGCAGTATCAGCAATTTGAGCTAAATTACCTCTTAAATACAATTGTCATCATAGAAATAAAAAAAATCTGATGTGTCCAACACATGACTATCCTATCTAGTTATTATAGGCTTTTTCCGGTTCTTTTGTACAACCTATTGCAGCATCTCTATAAATGTTTAGAGGATAAACTAAACATACACATTGTCCACATACATCTACCTCGAAACATTTTTCTATAGATATTCATTGAAAACGAAAATACTGAAAAATTTAAATTTAGCACTTTTTCATTACGGCCCATTTTAGAAAAATGATGTATAAACAAAAATTATAGAGATCGATATCGCAAACAACTTTTAGTTCAACAATTTTCATAAAAATCACAATTTTGCACATTTTGTCAAATTTCTCAAATACGGTCCATTTCAGGAAATTTTGACATAAAGCAAAAATTATAGATAATAATATTAGAAGTAACTTTTATTCAAACAATTTTCTTCTCCAAACATAAATAACAGATATATTCCATAAAATATAAAAACGGCCCCCCCTAAAGTACCCCCCCCAGATGTTCCGACTTTGTCCAAAATCTAATCATTTCACGTCAGGCCGAAATAAATCTTAAGTTTAAAATGTAATGTTTTTTTCTTTGTCCGTTTTTGAGTGTTCTTCAAAATTCGAAATTTACACATTTGCTCAAATATCTCGAATACGGTCCATTTTAGAGAAATTATGTATGAAATAAAAATTATAGATAATTATATTAGAAGTAACTTTTATTTACAGAATTTTCTTCTCCAAACGTAAATAACAGATATATTTCATAAAATATAAAAATGATCACCTATAAAGTACCCCCCAGATGTTCCGACTCTGCCCAAAATCTAATCAGTTCATTAGACGCTGGAATAAAGCTTAAGTTTAAAATTTGGTGTTTTTCTGGGTATCGGTTCATGAGTTATGCGACCTACAGACACACACACACACACACACACACACACACACACACACACACACACACACACACACACACACACACACACACACACACACACACACACACACACACACAGACACACACACACACAGACACACACACACACAGACACACACACACACACATACACACACAGACACACACACACACACACACACACACACACACACACACATACACACACACACACACACATACACACACACACACACACACGCACGCACGCACGCACGCACACACACACACACACACACACACACACACACACACACACACACACACACACACACACATCATCGCGAAAATAGTCAAAACGGATTCAGGGGACCTCAAAACGTAAAAATCCGTCGAAAACTCGAGGTCGAAAAAAATCATGATTCCTATTCTTTCCTTATATCTGTATACAGATATGAAAGTAAAAAAGGTAACAGTAGGGTTATTTTATTTGCCTCCTCAACCTTATTATTAAGAGAATCTTCAATATATCCTTCAGCAACGTTTGATGACTTCCATCCGCTATGCCTCTTTAAACTAGTTATGTCGGCACCAGAGTGGACCAATTTTGACGAAAGCAGTGACCAGTATATACTGTCGGATTTACCAAGTTCAAATAAGTAGCTACTTACTATTTTAGGCATTTTTCTAAATTGATGTATTCCTACCATTTGTTTGTCTACAACCCTTTCCATTTTGATATTTAAAGTAAAATAGGTCACTGTTCATATTTTTTGGTTTTAACGAAACATACTTTTGATGTGGATAAAATCTATCCAGCCACTATCCTGTTTAAAATACACAATAAGATTATGATTTCCTTCTAAATCCCATTGATTTTCAATTTTATGGATGATGGCGCTGTCGAATTGTTGAGCATCTGCACGTAAACCTCGCCAATTAAATTCCCCTTCATAAAATGGACCTATTATTCGGTCTCCTAGTATTCCCGCTTAAACATTAAGTTTATGAGATTCTGGGTATGCCCTTCTGAAAAGTGATGTCGATTATCATCGCTCCCGTACCGGCAGTTTTCGTTGTTTACGTGATTATTAAAAAAAAGCGCATTTATCACTAAAATATATTTTTTTAGTTAGTTTGGGTTCTTACAAAATTTTCATTTTGTATCTGTGTAATTTGTACCTTTTAAATACTCTTCTGACATTTCTAGTACCATGGAGAGCTTCAGATTCCCGCCACCAATGGATGGATGCATTTTAAAAAATATTTCATTTCGTTTCTTCCTCGTTTTTAAAGAAACGGTATATTTTATTTTTTTGATATCTCTCATAATAAATCACGCACATTTAACGTATTTTCAATCGAGGTGAGGACCTATAACAATTTTTGTAGTAATTGCTGCATTCTTAAATATCAGAATTTTAAAAAATCAGCAGAAAATGTAAATTTCACTCACAGCGGCAACGAAGCCAGAACCACGCAGGAATTTTTAAACCCAAAAAAAACTGTTTTTAATATAGTCGGCTTTGGGTCTAATGCGCATACTCCACAAGTTCCGAGCAGTGTCTAATTTATCATATTTGTTTTAAAATTTTAGATTTGTGTTGACAAGAAACTATTAGTGATGAGTGATTAGTGAAATATCTCAAAAAAATAATATACGGTAAGTTTATTTATGCACTTTAACATAAGGTAAAAGGATTTTATCAATAATTCAACTATAGATAATATCTGGGGATGTGCCGTGATACTTTTTATATACCTACATACTTAAGTAGATATTATGTTCTGCCGGTTTATTTTGGAAAAAGTGTATAGGTAGATATTAGTATGTCAATTTTCAAACTGCATTCCTCAATTTACGTTTACCTAAGGTACCTAGGTACATTTTAGAAGTTTTCTTTGCTAAAAACAAATATTTTTACGGTTAAGTATATCTGAAATAAAAGTTTACACTATAATCTTTATAAAACATCTAAATATTTTTCTTGATGACTTTTTTTATTGAAACTTTTTGACTGCAATAAAATATTAGGTATTTTTTTCAGATTGTGCTTCGGTTTTACGTCGTATATTTTTCGTGTAAAGGTAGGAGTATGAATGCATTGAAATGAATAAGTAATGATAGCAAATTTTAAATAGGAATACATACATATTAGTGAGTAATCCATGTTGTGGATATAAAAACTATGTAGTCACAGGAATACTCTTTTATATTTATTAATTTTTCTCAGGCGTAAATATATATGAATACTTTTGGTCAAAGAAATAGATATTTTAGATACGTATAGGTTCTATTTAAAAATGTTTTTTCGCAGAGAGAATTTACGAAAATAAGATTTTTTGCTTAGTCTTTAAAATTATGAATATAATTTTTTCAGATTTTAAATTAAAGTGTGAATTAATCTAATAATTTATAAATAAATATAGAACTACTTTATTCTTTAGGTAAAATCATATTTTTGCGTTTTACTATGATTTTAAAAATGTTAGTAAACATATAAGTTAGTTTCTAATTTTTTGTTTTAGATAAAAAACACTTTTATATCTAAAAAATTTTCATTAAATAAAAAAAGAATAAGAAATAGTACCTAAATTAATTCGTAAAATTCAAAAAAATGTATGAAACACTAAATATTTTTATTGATAGGAAATTTTTCAATTTTTACTACAGTTTTTTAGTTTTTTGAGTGTTTGGCATCGTTGATGTTATTATAAAAGCTTAAAGTTTTTATATTTACATCAACGATTTTGTTTGGAATCATTCCCTTTCTCTCTGACAATAAAGACATTTAATTCACACTATTTATGTCTTTTGGAATCATTTATTAAGAGGTTACATCTTAGAATTTAATTCTATTATGTGTTAGCTCTACAATAATTAATTTCTGATGTAAATTCGTGGATCAAATGGACAAGGCTGCAGCAATAAACTGCTCTATGATATCTCGTATAATTATTAAAATTCCTTGAATCAATCACAGATACAAACTTTAAATTCTTGTTTTTTTTTGTAATATGACACTAAAGTGTTTGATTTTGGAATGTTAATAAATTGTAGAGTATTTAGGGGCTGTTATTAGAGGTAGGGAATGATAGAATGATTGTTGATGTTGGAATGAAATGACGTCGCCGGAAACAGAAGATGTCCTGAGTGTACGAAAATCTCGGGCGATATAGATCGGACAATGGGTGAAATGTAAAGTGAAATGGACCAGTCATTAGCGGGATGAACAAAAGAAGCTTGATTTTATAAGGTGAGTCTTTTTTTCAATAGAATAATCTCTATCTTTTCTATTCCGTTTAAAAAATGATGGTGTCGCATTTTTCTATTTTGTAAAATGCCCTTGTCCTAGTAGAATTTTTTTTTATTATAAGATCCTTAAACTAGACACTTCAAGCTTCAAATTGATTTTATTTTCATTAACATAGGACCATTTTTACCAAAGATACAGCCACTCGAAAAATCGCAAAAAATCACGATTTTTTTGATCCCCTAATTTTTTCCACTAGTGTATTTATTGAAACTATACTGCAAAATATACATTAAATTTGATAATAGTTCACCATTAAGAAGGCTACGGTAGCTCTAGTCCTGTTTTCTTTCTTCTGTGACTCCGTAACTTACCTGAAGAAGGAGTGTCTAAATGCTGGACTCGGCCCATTATACGAGTACGTGTGTGCAAAATCCATCGTTAACATGTCTTTTTCACACCTAAATCTTCAAACATGTTGTACATAGTATCATATTTAAGTGAAAAATAAATTGTACTATGGACTATGATGATTTTCCAAAGAAGTATGATTTTAGTTATTTATAGAAAATAATTTTAAATAAAAAACAAATTTATTTAAAATAAAAATAAGCTTTATTTTTTTAAAAACGTTCAATTATAAAATTAATATATAAAATATATTTAAACTTGTATTTATTAAAATCACACTAATGCTGAACACACGAGATAAAGCTCAAGACTGTGCTTAAAAATAATTTGCTTCTTTGCTTTACCATTTTATACCTATATTCAATTGTCTTAATTTTAATGCCGTTCCGAAAACTTTGTCCCAGATTGTACTACTGATGCCAAAGCCTGAAACAGAAAAAATATATGTGTTTAAGTCAATTAACCAATAATTTCAGCCAATATCGTATTGCTAGGCAGGTACTTGAAATGTGAGATTTGTAAAGTAGATATATGGGTTCTTTGACTTCTATGACACAGCATTTTTATTTATTCATCTCAGAAAATCATATACCAAATCAAGGAGGTTTAAATGAAATGGAGAGAGTCAAATTTAAATACTAAAACGTTAAGAATTGATGAAACATCTCAGATAACATTGCTTCTGTTATTTGGTCAAAAAATTTCAGACGTATGAAGCTTTAAAATAAAATCATAAACATTACTAATTTTGTTAAAACAAAAACTATCGCGAAAAAGAGGATCTGTGAAGATAATATTTCACAAGTATCTTCGTACGGTTAAGCATCTACTGGGCGCGTCTCCAGGTTGTCAATATAAGAACAGCCGAGTTTTCTAGCTACTCGTAGAAAAATATGGTTCCAAATACCAATAACGATAAACTCAAGGAGACTAGACAGTAACGTTCACCTCCAGAAGCTGGACAGCTATGTCTACCTCCAACCAACGAGGCTGGACAACAAAGCCTGTCTTACATTTGAAAACGTCCCCGAAGTAAGAGGCTCTGCGGTGCTGAAAGTAAATGTAGAAGGATGGTGAAACTGCAGGTGAATAGCTCCACTGCAACTCTGCAAATGCAAAAACCCAGACAGGATCCCTAAACTTCTATCTGGAATAAGAAATAAGAATGCAGATAAAAGCATCCTCAAAGTTGCAATCGTAGATCAGAAACACACTTAACAGTAAGATAACTACCGAAACAGAAATATTTGTCAGTCACTGATGGAAGAGTTGGACAAAACAATTTTGTCCACCACTTTTACTAAAAACAACGATAACATGCCTAAAGATATGAGACGAAGCCGCACTGGCTATTGTAAGGGCCCATGAGCTCCATAAGCTCACCAAATCCTTTCTCTGGATCTCATGGGAAACGCAAGTTGACCATGACTAAAAAGGTAGTGTTGAGGTAGTTTAAGGAAAAGAAAATACAACCTACACAAGCGCGAAATGCTCCACCTTCCAAAAAATGACTCTTAGGGCAATCTCTTCTACTTGGACATTGGAAATACCTTAATGACTCAACTGGAAATGCTTTTTTTTCTAATAATCCCAAAATATAAGACTTTTTCCACTTACCAAGTCATTGTACTATACAAAATCACCTTCCAGATCCCACAAAAATTTTAATTAACTGTATTAAAGAAATCTAGAACTATTTGCATAATAAATAAGATTTCTCGTATCATGTTTTATTTATTTCTGAACACCCGGAACGTCTTTAAATAAAAAGAGGGTTTATTGCATGCCATTCGTTATTACTATTATTATTTCATTGGTAAAGATAGAAGGTTGTAATCGAGATCTCATCTATTTCTTATTTTATAGGTTAATGCCTAGATCCTCTAAAAAAAATATAGTTTTAAAAGTATTGGATACATACCGTTGTCATGGTGAGCAAAATGATGCTGGTTGTGATATCTCTTCAAGTGATAAAAATAAGTGTTCTCTTTTGGTGCTCCATGATGTAGATAAAAATGAATCATGTCATAAGTTACGTATCCTGCAAAAAAAATCGATTAAAAAAATTGAAAAGTTTTGAATTAGCTATAGATATTTAAGGTTAACAATTTAACCAACAAACAATGAATTGCCGGGATATTGCTGACTTTTTGCTGTAATTCAAGGGAAAATAAATGCTACGATTAAAAGATAAAAGCCTACTTTTGGCCTTTCGATTGTGGCACAGCATTATATTGCTTGATGGCTTTATGAAGGGTAAGTAACTGTATTGGGTAAAAGCATAGTAAAAGATAAAAAGCTTTTAATTGCCGCATATCCAACCTCAACAGACTAGGAGGGCTCCGTCCCGCATTTATAGATAGACACACACCGATGATCGCTTGCTATATACTTAACGAGTGGACATGTACTATGCGACCAGTCTCGGATTGCTAGTATTCACTATGCAGTATTCATTGTAATTTATTACTTTCACGTGTTGTTAATTTAGAATATTTTTTTGAATATACTTTTTGTAGAAGAAATTTTTTGTCTATTATTAAGTATTTTATATAGGTGAATTAAATAGAATATCTACAATTCTATATTGGAATGACCTCCGTTTTAGTATAGAATTTATAGTTATAACGGTACTATTGTCCAAAGAGGTACTATCGAATCACCTGTTGGGTCATTAACCTGGCACATGGCCTTTATTTAGCAGTCTAAAGCGACTAAACATACGATATGGCTACGAACACTTAAAGCATTTATACCAATCACAGTTAAAGAAAGTAGATATTGCCAGGTTGGTGCGATTTGCCAACCCATCAGCTCCGGAAAATATAATACAGAAAACACTCTGTTTAGCTCGTCGCAGAATATTGGTCGATGTCTTATCTTCCGCTGCTCTTGAATGTGAGGCAGCTACGCAACCTTCTGGTGAATACAGTAAAGTTAGGAATGTAAAAGAGGAAGAAACGGAAGATAAACTCGACCAAATGGTTAACATTATGAAAAGCTTTACTGGAATTGTGGTAAACTGGGACATGTGCGCAGTTCCTGTAAACGCCCTAAGATCACAACAAACCAAGACAACACGCAGCAGGAAAACTAGAGCGAGTTGACCTAGAGGCGGAAGATTCGACCCGTAACCGTTCTAAAGACCCTCTCATTCGAATAGCCTTTATAAAATGTCGCGACGATGGTGTATACGTCGATGGCGAAGTAAATGGTAGAGAAACATACTGTTGGTGGATACTGGAGCAACAAGGATCATTATACGACCAACAACCATAAATAACCGTAAGAAACTTCTACCAACAAGATTGCGACTGCCGATTGCCACAGGTCAAAGTACCCAACATCCACGAGGAAATCTAGGTTCAATTAGAAATTGGTACAGAAAAGATCACTCATAATTTTATTGTCGCTGATATTGAAGAACATGTTATACTAGGAATGTATGTCATGAATTTGCATAGCTTTTAGTTGGATTTTATGAACAGAGTGATCTAAGTTGATGTCAAAGAGGTATTCCTACATGCATATGGGGACATTACTGTGCCAGTTGCTGTACAGTAGAATACGGTGATACCTGGCAGAGGTAAAACCAATGTAGTAGCACGACTCAAAGAAACTATGGAAGAAGGAACACCTGTCATGATATAACTTTGGAAACAGGATGAAGAGATTTGAAGTGAAATTCTGATCGGAAAGAGGTCGGTCAAAATTGCTCAAGAAATTCCAGTACATCTCATAAACGTTAATGATCACCCAATTATCATCAAGGAAGATAACACAATTGCAACCTGTGTACCAGTAACTGATAATTCCAACGACAAATGATTGCAGTTTTTGGTCAATCTCTAAATCAGTTAGAGAAATAGAAAATAAAGGAAGTTCTTCGATGGTATGATATTTTTGTACCAAAAGAAGAAAAAACAGAAAAAACTGTTCTAAAACATAAAATTAACAGAGGTGACGCCACGCCAATTCGTCAATCAACTTAAAGATTATCAAAGGCCAAGAGAAAGAGAAATCTGAAAGGGTGATAAAACCTTCTACCAGCTACAAGGTTCTGTGTGGATTACCGTTAGTTGAACAATGTAACCAAGAAAGACAGTTATCCCCTATCTCAAATTGACGATACTTTGGACACATTGGCCAGAAGTAAACTTTTTTCTACTTTAGATAGTCTGGATATTGGTAGGTGAAAATGGACCTAGTAGATAAAGAAAAGACAGCTTTTATCACCGGATCTGGATTGTAGCAATTCAAGGTCATGTCATGAGGACAGTGATGCTCCTGCGACATCTGAAATACTTATGGAGCCATTTATAGAACTCACAGAAAAAGCGAAAGAATTCTGCTGGGACAAAGACTACCAAACTGCGTGTGAAACATTAACGAAGCATTTAACAATAGCGCCAATACTAGGCTACCTAATAACAGAGGTAGAATTTATTCTAGATACTGATGCCAGTAATATAGGAATTGGAGGAGTGCTTTCGCAGTTTCAGGAAGGAAAAGAAAGAGTAATAGGTTATTTTACTAAAGTTCTCTCGAAACCTAAGCAAAATTGGTGGAAGTAATCTTTCAAGATACCGAAGCCATTCTTTCAGTATCCAGGTTATAGCGACGACTGTATCTTGTTACTTCCATACAACTGGATATTGTAAAAAAGATCCAACCATTTCGTTTTCTGGTTTTGTAAGAGATCTAGGAGAAATTACCTCTTAAGCAGGGGGCAATGTAACCTGCGCCATTTCCGACCATTCTGGTGATGCTCTGATCCCTAGGGTCATTATGCCTTTTTACGACCCCATTTGTCCTTAAAACCAGGAATACTTGATAAAGGGGATAAACCTCTTTTACCCAACTTTAGGGACGCCTATGCTCACAGATACTCCGTATAAATCATTTATTCGGGAATTTACTAGGAAATGTTAGGCTCCAAGGAAACACGCACTACGCCTCTTCACCCACAGTCCGACAGAATGGTAGAAAAACACTATAGAACCATTTGCCAGTATCTTTGAATGTTTGTCTCTAAAAAAAAAGGACCGGGACACTTTAATTTCTCTATTTCTGCTAGCTTACCCGAGTTCTGAACATGAATCGACCAGTTATACTCCATTTATGATGATTATTGAAAGGTAAATAAAGTTTTCCCATGATCTTTTTAGAAGACCGAATCCTGATGAAGTAGAGGGCCGTATACCTCCTACGTACATACATAACTAAACAGAAAAATTATAAAAGGTCTGCAGAGTCGCTCGTGAATGCTTTAAAGTCAACAGCGATAAAGCAAAAGCTAGATTTGACATGCATGCCGTAGGGACACATTTTAGGAGTGGCGATCCAGTATGTTTGTACAAACCCAAGCGCCGAAAAGGACTTTGTCAGAAACTGCAACGGTAATAAGAATGCCCCTACACCGTCCTCAAAAAAAACAACGACCTGATCTGTCGCATTCATTTGTCAGCGGGAAGTAAACCCAGGGTAGTTCACATTGAACAGTTAGCGCCATACCGTAGTCCAAATCCTCCTCGTTGGCTCCAACCAGGTCCCAGTAATCAATTTATTTGGGACGAATCATTAGAGAGGAAGAAGTAATGTTATCCTGTACCCTACAGAAATCTGCGGCTATTGTAGGTAAACGTACGAATAAAAAAAGAAGTGCAATGTCACCCAGAACCCTACAGTGTGCTCCGATTGTTATTTTACTCGTATTTTTAACTACCTAAGTAAACATAGTATATTTCTTACAGTTAAAAACAATGTTTTCCAAGAAAGAAGATTTTTAAACAATGATATTGTCAATATGGTAGAGGCTAATCCACAGATAAGTACCCAAATGAAAAGTTAGTGCCATACCGTGGTGAAAATCCTCCTCGTTAGCTCCAACCAGGTCCCAGTAATCAATTTATTTGGGACGAATAATTAGAGAGGAAGAAGCAATGTTTTCCAGCACCCGCAGAGATCTGCGGCTATTGTAGGTAAACTTACGAATAAAAGATGAGTATAAAAATATCTGGAGAGCGGAATACATTTCTATTCCATGTCTGGAAACATCTAGAACTTTCGAAAATATCAAGGGATATATAAGGCGATAATTTTGATGTTAGAAGCAGTTTTATGATAGCCGTTGTACGTTGATGTCAATGGTGGTATCGTTAATTGTAAAATTTTTAGTTTGGAAATAAATTAAGTTTACCAAGAACTAGTGTAACAATACTAACCTGCTATTCCTCCTGCTAGTACTAACAATAACATGGAATCAGGAAGAAAAAGAGAAAGTAATTTATGAATCGTGTAAGTAATTATTGCTGCTGGAAATGGGGGAAAAACCAACCTCTTGGAGTCGAACGGAACCTAAAACAAAAACAGAATTCGTACATATGACCAATTATACTTTCAAATTAAGAGATTTATTATTTACAAAGTACTTGAGCATAATTTTGCCGGAGAAATAATTTTTAAAATCGAAAATTTTATTTCTGGTGATGCGTACCAATAAATCTAGAGAATATTTTGTTGCAAAATGTCTTTTTATATATAGGACTAGTTAAATAGAATGATACTTAAGTAATAAAAGTCAGTAAAAAAGGCAATTTTAATTAAATTTATTGCTTTACCAGATTTAGTGACATACGAGTATTGTTGAAGACTCGTCATTTGCAACGTTCGGCATAATTCGCAACATAATCGTATGCATTTAAAGAAATGTGGCCCCAACAACGGCTTCGTGTGCTCACCGGCTCTCATGTGGCTCTATCAGTGTTGCCACACCAATTAATTTTTACGTAATAGAATTTTGAACCAAAAGGTAATAAAATCGTAATAGATAATATTTTAAAGTAACATAAATGTATCACAACTATTATTAAATACATTTAACAATAAAACTTTAATATGTATTATTTAGTTGAGAGAAAATTATTTCTGCTGCTGCAAAAGAATGGGGTAATGATAAAAAACCACAAGTTAATTTTTTAAATTTTAAACATTTGGTTCATCCAGTGAATAGATGTTAGGCCAAAATTCACCTAAGGGTAAATTTTTGTAATTTAATTTTTCTTCAAAGTCTTGAAGGGGTCTACGTTATTAAAAACAATTAATAAATTATGCTGAAATTCTGGAGGCTGGTGGTAATCCCCTACTAAACTAAAAACTGACCCAAAACAAAAAAAAAATAATACAATATAATAAAGTGACGCCTATCTTGGATTTGTTGAAACAAGAAAACACAGAAATAACAAATGTATAGATTTTTTAAATTTTTTAAAGTATTTTTTAGATAGAGCCACTCATAAAATTTCGATATTTTAAGTAGTAATAGATTTTTCCTCTTTTCTTAAAAGTCGTAATAACGTACTGGTGTAACTTTTTAGTAATAGATTTGTTACAATTGTAATAGCAACGGCAACACTGGACTCTATTGAATGTTTTTGAACGTAAATTGAAATATCAAGAGTGTAGAATCAAACCCGTTAAGGACGCCACAGCACTTCCGGTTTTTGATTCAATGATTTAAATGTGAATTTTAGTACGTAGATGTAGCTACACTCTTTAACCTCCATATTTTGTCCATTATATCGCAAAAATGGGCCAGCTAAATAATGAACGCAACATACTTTTGTTTTATGTTTTCAAATAAGTTGGTCTGGTGAAAAAGATTTGTCAACACCGCATATTTATAGAAATATATGATTAGGCAGTCTACCAATTCTTTAGGGAGGTTTTTCTCGTTTACGGCGAATTAAATATTTTGCTATCTAATTAGGGTCGCAGCAGGTACTTGGGATAATCCGATTAAATAATAATCATAAGAATTTGTTAGTAGCACTGACCTTGCAAAATCTATTATAAATAGGTAGGTATATTTATCCCTATTTCCAAATAATGATTGAAATAAATAAGTATATATATGGGCTATTTGTTTTATTTATTTTAGTTATGTGTATTTTTGATTTGTGTTCGTAAGTTTAATTTGAGTGTTTATTATATTTCCAGTATATTTTTTATTATTTTTCGTTAATTTTACATTTCCTGTGTAGTTTTTTTGTGTACTAAATTTGGGTGGTAAGTACCTATTACTATTATTAAACTATAATTTAAATTCATTATATAAAAAAATATGATTTGTGGATTGAAGTCTCCAAAAAATCCATCGAAATCAGTTATTAGGTCATTTTAACTTTATACCGAGTTCCCCTGAAAATTTTGGATGGCTTTATTTTTGGTAAAATTCAATATGGAATCTTGAATTTTTGGGGGTGAGGCAGTGCATCGAGGCAAGAAATTTTACATTCTTTTCATACATAGCTCCCTTGATTTTTCCTAGCAAATAAAATATTTTGCCAAAATTTTAAATTAAAATATTCTAAAAGGTATTCTTTTTAATTTTTTAATATGGATGTACTTAAAAAAGTGTGCTCTTTCATAATACTTTACAATAAATGCAGGATACCATTGAAAATGTTGAGATAAGGGTAGGTTGATGCAAAGGGTGATAAACAATATGTGGAAGTACTATCCCTATGCACTGCTTCATATCTTAATAATTTAAAATTTAAGTTTAAACAGAAATAAACTAAACCGAAGGGCGGTAGGGGTAAATATTTTTGTTGAATAAACACATATCCGAAATACAGGGAATTTTAACCAAAAGTTATAGCGTCTGTTAGATAATTACAATGTTGATACTTGTTTTGAACAAAGCAACTAAATACAACTTTATTGTCTCTATATATTTTTTTGAATCTCTTTTCGCTTTCTGATAAACAAATAATATCTAAACTTTTGCATATACGTCTCTGAAGCAACTAAAAATACAACTCAAAACGAAAGGCGCTATACAACAACAAAAATAAAAGACAAAGAGTTGTATTTTATAACGTTTTATCAAAACCATTATAAAAATTTAAAAATATACATAGTGATATTTTTTTTTCAGCAGAAATCTAATAAAATTATATAATAACGCTGAATATACGCTAAAAGATAATTTATTAAAATAGGTAACAACAAACTTTAAAAATTTCCTTGAAATTAATTAAAATGTTTTGAGATATTCATTAAAATTTGAATTTTATTTAAAACTTTCATTTTAGAAACGAAGAGTTTTCGGACATACATTTATCGAAAAAAAATTGTATATTTTAACGTCCCCTACCACCCTAAAAGATTGTCGGCATATATATGTATATTAGAGTGCTCCATTTAAAACGAACATTTTTTTTTGTACACATGAAAATTTTGTTCCTTTTATCGAAAAAAACTTCCCTTAAAATTTGAGCCCGTAATTTTGATTTTAAATGGTTCCTTTCGATAGATGTATATTTCCCAATTAAATAACATATTAACCATGATTTTTAAAATTTAAATTAATGTAGCTCCGTTTGATTTCATGGTAATCCATTGCGATTAGTCAGAATTTGTAGTATATTAGTGACTCTTTGAAAGTGCCCACTAACATTTTTTTGTACTTGAACCCGTCTCATCGGTGTCGGCTCTGAAAGTCCAATTTTTTCAAAAATTGTTATATTTTCGTTCTTATCAACAAAACAGTTGAAGTTATAAAAAATTGTCAAAGAACAATTTGTAGGAAATTAAATTTTCTACAAAAATATCCTGTATGGATTTTCTGAGGTGCGTAGTCCGAAAGGTATAAAACTCTAAAAAAGAAAAATATGAAATTTTAATTTTTATTGTATGATTTTTCAACTTACTATTACCAAGTGAGAATTTGAAATCATTTGCCTGAATATTTTTTCATCTTTCAATATTTTTATATTTGCACGAAAATAAAATTATTTAAATGTGTTTTTAGCGTTAAATAAAAATAATAGTAGCATTTATTTTTTAATTCATAAAGTTTTTTTTTAGATTCAAGGACAGCTTAATGTTTGTAGAAAAGATATGTGTTTTTTTATAGTTTTCATAAACGACGAACAACCCCTACATATAAAAATCATTCTAAGAGACCAACATTTTTTGCAGAATAATGTTTTACCCAAATTACTAAATTTTTATAATCAGTATGTAATGCCAGAGATTGTGTACAGGAATATTCTAAAACGACTGAAAGCCAGAGAGGCCATTTGAGAAGAATATTTTGTTATTTATTTACATATTTATTGAATTAAATAAAGCTTTTACTGGATAATTAGAAATTTTTCATTTTATCCTTCCTAATAAAAAACATTTTTGAAGAGTAAATGAAAGAGTCATGAATGTTATTTTAACTTATTTTTTTTTAAACCATGAACTGGACCAAAAAGATATGGGTGTCACTGATAGCCTAATAAATATATTATTACATTACTGGTCTTCAAAGTAGCATCACTTTATTGCATTGATGAATATTTCTCTCATGATAATTCATATATTGAACAACCAACTCATGCCCATTTTGCCGAATTCACACTTTATTTACAAAAAAAACTCAGCATACATTAAAAAAATTACATCTTTAACCAATTTTTTTACAAATTTTTGTTTTTCCTCGTATAGAGACATTTATTTTAAATATTGGTTAATTTAGAATTTAATTTTAGACAAAGCACCAAATTTTATTAAAAATCCGTCTTAATAAGAAAACGTTAAAAAATGAGTCTCCCTGTATATATAATTTATATTTGTGTAAATTGTAAATAACCATAATAATATAGTTTTGTCTAAATTCAAGACAATTTTAAAATATGGCAACACGGCGTCGAAGCTTTCGCTACTTTTGCTCCATCGGACATCTATAATTTAGATCCTGAACTAAAAATTCAACATGGACGCAGTGAAATTATCAATTTTAGATGAAATCGTATTTTGTACAGAACTTAAAAAGTACGCAACATTGAGTATTAAAATTTGGCAGGAATATTCAAAAAAATATGTAGAATGCTGTAAAGTTTTTTGAACTACATCTGTGACTATCACTTTTTTATATTTTTTAATAGTATTTAATAAATAGCAGGACAAATGAAAATGTCTCATTTCAATCTTTAAACATTTTTCTATAAGCTGCCAAAGTTTCACTAAAATCCATCCAGTGAAAAATAAGTTCTGTACAAAATCGTAAACCTCTGTTTTGACCTCGTAAAATACACTGAAATGGCGGCCTTAAGGCGGCAGTTTAATACGACCTCCTCGGTGATCGGGAGCCGTTACATATCTTATATTAATAATAATAATAATGTTTTTATTGGCTCAAATTATACATTTTTTATAATTTTGGACAAAATAAAATTATAGCCAAAAGGCAGAGTTCAGTTTCTATTATGCCGGAGCAATACTAGAACCTGTTCTTCCACTCAACCAGTAAAACCCGTAATAACAGCGATAAACTAAAAACGTTTTCAGAACTATTTTCCCTAATTTGGACGGAAACTTCTGCTACTGACTCGCAGATGATCGCATTTTGTGCACTCGACGGATATATTGCAGTGATGCCGATTCATATTATGAATCCTGATATGTCTTTTTTTTTTCGTAGAAATAGAAATAGTATTGGCACAAAAATATTTTATTAAAATGCATCTTTGTTTTATAAATAACAGAATTTAGAAATGGAAGGGGACTGAGGCTTACCTTTAGCATTATATGTCAGGCCAATGTAAAGGACTGGTGTATTTTTTAATTACGACAAGCATTAGGTTTTGCATGATAATATTAATGGGATATTTTAAAGATGCTCCAAAAAAAAATTAATATATTTTTTATATCTCAATATATTTTTATAAAGGAGTGACTACCGGGCGTATTGATTATACGATGGTTTTTGACATTAGTATACCACGAAAATAATATTTAAAAATAACATGATCTAACTCAGTACGAAATATACAATATTCCAATTATTCATTATCTTTCTCTACTTTGCTAAAATTAACCGGTATAGACGAGCTGGTCGCTTACAACATGTAGAAGCAGAAGAAATTAGGAAGAGCCAGTGACGTCGTGATGTGTGTTTTTTATTTAAATATTAGTTAGTTTGTTTAAATTTTTTTCTATTTATAGAATTGTTTGGAAAAAAATGACTAACCGATAATTTTTTGCACTTTCAAAGATATTAGAAAATGAATATTTGGAAATAATAGTCAACTTCACACTAATCTGATACTTTTAAAATATTTATCATCACAAACAGTTTTCTTTTTTCTTGTCAAGAAAATGGGTTATTTTGCATAGTACATAGTTAGGGATATTTTAATTTTTTTCTCGTGTATTGGGTGTTTCGATTATTTTGTCCAGGTTTAGGATGACTTTTTAAAAAGGCGAATGAACCAGAATTATAACTAATTGTACCTTAGCACATTGTCCAAATTATTTTTATACAACCAATCTTCGTTCTTCCTATATATACTTTCAAAAGCAATAGATGTACCTATACATATATTAATTTAAATGCCAAACATGTTCTTTTTAAATTTATTTTCTTTTTCAATAATGAACATAATAATTATGACAACTAGTTTAATTTATGTAACTAGTTACTTAAAGTAGGTATGGATTATTTGGACACTTTAGATTACAAAAAAAGTTACTTTGTAAGACAAATTAGAAGAAAGTTTTTATTAAATACTTACTTAGAATAAATGTCGGATAGGCTCATTGCAAAAATAAACATAACCTACAAATATTTCAATTTCTAAGATTAATTATATTTATTAATTAGTGAAATAAAAAAACCATTTTCAATGCGGAAAAAAGAATTTAAATGAAGTATTTTTTTGACTCAATGATGAATAATATATAAATAACATTTTAAGTAAAAAAATGTATCTCCGTCTATGGGCGGTATATCAAAGAGATGTTTTTAGCTAGTTGACTTCCCGCTAACAATTTTTTTGTTCGTTTTGTACACCAATTTTTTTCGAGTACTTCAAGCAGTGGCCGACCTTTTTAACTTTTATAGTTGACTTATTGTTTAAGGGTGAGATTACAGAACGTCTGCAACTTTGCAGATCTGCAAATATGGCGGCAACTTTGAAAATCTGCAAATATGACTGACTTACATATGCAAGTATCAATTTTTCGTATTCCAAATTTGGGTTTAGTGTTGTTGGGGGTAATAAACCACAATAAATATTACGAATTTGCAGATATTTTTTGGAATACTTGCATTTGTAAGTCCGCCATATTTGCAATCTGCAAAGTTGCATATCTGCAAAGTTGCAGACGTTCTGTAATCTCACCCTAATACAACTTATGTACCTAGATCATTTTATTTATTTAACTCTTTTTAACAAAATTCTTATATGTCTAACTAAATTCGAGCCACACTTGGCGGCGATTGCGGGATAGTTCAAACCTATTTTGGCGGCCGCTTTGAAGTTTTTTTGTTGTCGACGGTATACCTATATGGCATTACCGCTTTGAAACCGAGGATACAATTTTCTTCAACGAAAAATATGTTTTTCCTTTTCGGCATGTCATGAAACAAACTACTAAAGAAACAACGCAAATCACACGGAAAACTAAATTTAAATAATAGTATAATAAAATATATTAATGTATATACCAGGTGTTCCATATGTTTCTAGATATTTGTTAAAAGGGATAAAAGTGTTTTACCTGATGAACTCAAATCAAGCTCTTGTAAAACTACCTGCTAGAAACCACCATTATTATTTATGTTTCAAACCACGCCCCTACATTTTTTTTAATATGATACATTTTTCGCTTCATGTCAACGATATTATACGATGTATTGGTCAAAATTGTAAATAACAGACTCCTACCCCATTCGACCATTCACTGTTGGGTTCTAATTAACTGTGCTGTTCCTAAAGTGGCGCTGGGAAACAGTAACAAAGCCTACACAGAACACGAGGCGAAATAACCTTAGCAGTTGTAGCCGATGACACACACAAAAAAAAACACTCATTTAACCTATTTCTAAGGGGTGCGTGGTATGACAAGCGGTTAATTTAAACTACCGCCTACAAAAATAAGAAATTAAATTTGTATTATACAGGGTGGCTCACGCTCAACGGGACGGAGCTTTATGGGAAAATGACCAAAGATATAAAAAATTCGTTTGGGAGGAATACGTAGGTTACAGACGGCTACAATTTAAAATTTGTTAGATGTATACAGGATGTCCCACATAAGAAAAAAAAATTAGTTCATTAAAAATTATTCAAACAAGAGTAAACAATTAATTTCTGGGAGACTTTTTTTCCTTAAAAATTCAAATAAATCGAAAACTAATAATAATAGTAATAGGGAACCTTTAGTTAACTGACATTATTTTTGATGTAGTTTTTAATTCTAAAATAAAAAACAGGGTGTTCCATTAAAAATAATATAACTTTGTATATTTTCTCTTATGTGGGACATCCTGTATACATCTAACAAATTTTAAATTGTAGCCGTCTGTAACCTACGTATTCCTCCCAAACGAATTTTTTATATCTTTGGTCGTTTTCCCATAAAGCTCCGTCCCGTTGAGCGTGAGCCACCCTGTATAGTAAAATATTTCCCATGTTAAGTCAGCCTTTTTTTTACCATTTTGATCATATAAATACAGCCTAAAAAAAGCAATATGATATATGACTGAACTGAGGGTGATAAATTGGATCATATTAACAAAAAACATGAGCTTGAAATTGAAAAATGAATGCTAGGAATGGTTTGATTTTATTTTACACCCTTTAAACCCTCTGTAGTATTACCCTAATCCATTTGTAGCGCGGTGGCACTGCAACTTGCAATTTATTGTACCATCATTTGAATGTCTCACTACTTTCTCAATTACTTACTCATTCACCGTTATTAATTTCACATCGTCGATGGTTAAACGCTTGTTGACTAAACCACATGGTAGCATGGTCCATGGTAATCGTTCCAGCCGACAATCATCCACGACTTGACTGGAGATATCACGGCTTAACTGTTGCGAAAACGCGGATGTACACTAATCTCACGCTAGCCGCTCGGCTAGGGATAGTTTCTAGGGGGTGGTTTGGCAAAGGTTGATTTGATGGTATACCTAGGGATTTCATACCTCATTTTAAAAAGTTTTTTAATTCTTTATTCAGTCACAAGAATTTTTGTTTGTATTTTTCTATTTTATAACAAGCAATCTTACATGGTGTATTTTATTATAAAAAAATATTAAAATGAAATAATTTTTCAGATTCTTATAAAACATGTTCAGCTATTTTTGAGGAGATTTGCTGGATTTACAGATATGCTTCTTCATAAAGAAAAATGTCAAAATTTTAAAAAACTTCTATTAGTGGAACGAGTATTAGCCCCTTTAAAATGAGGTATGACATGATCACTCATTTCATTTAAAACTGAAAAGGCGGTAGTTGTCAGTTCAAGGGGTTTGAAGAAGTAGGTACCTACACAATTAATTGAATTGAAATACTGTCGCATTCAAAAATAAAAATTTACGTTACAGGATTTTCTTTAAAAATTAATTATTAATGAGACAGAAAATTAATGTATCCCTTTGTCCTCACTGTATATTAGTAGGCAACAGAAATAAGTACATTTATTTTAACCGTCCAAAATATTTATTTGTGTAGTAAGGCCGTTATATTTTTTAAAATTGTTTAAACTTTTATTTTTATTGTTATAAAAGTTACATTATTTATATTGGCGTCAGCAACTGCTCTGATTTATTTCAAAAAGTCTACAAAATCTTAGCTCTTTAATTTGTATAGTTTCAAATTTATTAGAAAATAAAGTTAATCGCAATTAAACTCTCACCTTAAGTATATATAATATGTCTCACTAAGTTGGAAACATATGGAAAACGTTTTTTTTTTTTATTTGGTATTGTTAAAAAAAAATCTGAATGATCCAAAACTTAAAATGCAACCATTAGAATCAATAATTTTGCATTGCAAATACAATAATTATTTTTGTTTCTATTCTTCATTTTATTTCATAATAAATGTTGAATAGACGCCAAATGTTGAGTAGGGATTAAATAAAAACAATTCGTAATTTTGTTAATCGATTTTTTTTTTAGTTTTTCCGTCAACGTCAACATATTACTTGAAGGTCCCTTGTAATAGCAAAGCAGCGAAAGTTATTTAACTTGACACCACCGACAATCAAGGACAAAACAATTTCCTTGTTTATTCCAACAAAAAAAAAAACAAAAACCTTTTGTTTGATTGTTTGCACTTACTTTATGATGTAGGCCATGTATCGTAAAATGGAAATAGATCATTATTTTCGAATGTCCTGATGGTTCTATATGAAAAATAAATCGATGTAACGTATATTCGATTATGGTCCAAAGTATTACACCCATTGTAAATATTAATAATACTGATACCAATGGACTAGGATCTGAAAAAAAAAAAAATGAATTTATAAAATTTTATTTAAAAATATAAGTGTTTAAATTTTTAGACAATCTATCAGAAAACATTTTAAATCAGTTAATAAAGTCGTTAGAACATTACTAGTATAATGCCGGAATTTTCTTGATTAAGAATGATTATTGGTCATCACGAGCAATATATGATATGTCTACTACCAGTATTAAAGTGGGCAAGATCTAGTAAAATACATACAGTGTGGAAAAGCCAAATGGAATAAATTTATTATTTCGATTACTGTACATATTTATAATAAATCCCAAAATACGTCAAATTTAAATTATAAATTGACATTCTTTAAAGTCAACCCCCTCTGAGTAACAGTTACAACCCCTAATTTTTTAAATGGGAAGTATAGGCTTGTGATATATCGTTTGATAGGTCTCTTCATTCTCTATCCAAAAATGTTATTGTTTTTAAATTTATTGCAAAAATTAACATAAAAAAATAAAATAACTGATAACCGAAATTTGTTACAATACACTCAATATGTAATATTTAATTGTTCATAACGTAAAAAATATGAATGTCAGTGAAGTAGATGTTCAAAATGCTCACCGCGAACGTCTTGGCAACATCCTTATCTTGAATAAAAACGTCTTCTAACGTTAATTAACATATCAGACGTGACCGATCTAATCGCAAGCATTATTCGTTCTCTTAAGTCGTCTAAATCACGTGGTTTAGTTTTGTAAACAATATTTTTCACAGAGCCCCATAAAAAAAGTCTAATGGGGTAAGATCAGGTGATCTTGCTGGCCATTCTATTGATCCTCGCCTCCCTATACAGCGATTTGGAAATGTTAAGTTGGGGCACTGGCGGACTTTGATTTGGTAATGTGGAGGTGCTCCATCTTGCTGGAACCATATGGTATTTGCTGGAACTTGAGGGTTTCCTGGATCAGGAAATAAATTTGCCACCACATCATTTTGTAGTAGTGCTAAATAATTATCGCCATTCAAATTCCCCTCAATGAAAAAGGGACCAATAATATGGTTTTCAACAATCCCTGCCCAAACATTAACCTTTTGAGGGTATTGTGTATGGACCTCTCTCATCCAGTAAGGATTTTCCGTTGACCAGTAGCGGCAATTTTGATGATTAGCATGACGTTAACGGAAAAAGTGCACTCATCAGAAAACATAACGTTTTCTAATTGGATGGTATTGTTATTCAACATTTCCATCATTTGTTCGCAAAAATTTGTTCTCCTATCAAAATCGTCTTCCATGAGTTCCTGAGTCGGTATCATTTTATAGGGATGCATTTTATTTTCATTTAATATGTTTAGTATCGATGTATGGCTAACATTAAATGTTGCAGATGCTTGTCTACTCGATGTATGTGGGTTTTCCTCAAACTCAAGCATTATATCTAATTTGATATCATCACTCAGTGCATTGGCAGCTGTTTTTTTCATCTGCTTTACATGTCCAACTTCGCGAAATTGCTTCTCTATTTTACTATTTGTACCTTGGGATATAGGCGGCAAATTCTGAAATTTTTCATGAAATAGGCGAGCAACTTCCATTTGTGTTCGGGTGTTACCTCCGTAACCAATCATCTGTAAAACTGTTATTTTATGCATTTCTGTTAATCTAACCATTTTTATGAAATTCAAACGATAATTGAATCGCTGAGTGGAAGAAGGGTCCAAGTGCAGAAATACACATTTTACAGGAAACGAAAAAAACTAATTATTTCAAAAAGGAAGGAGAATTTCGAGTTGGTCTGCCCAGGTGACTTGTTTCTTAGGCTATTTGGACTTGTTTTACAGAAAAATAAGATTTATTACCATATCGGAAATAGGATTTTTTGTCAAAAATATCTGATGATTTTGAACCCTTCTTCCACTCAGTTGATTTTTTCAATGTTTTTTTATTGTTTATTCTTTTATTTTATTTCTATTCTATAAAATATAAGGGATAATAAAATAGTATATACAAGGTGTAATCAAACAGTTTTATTCAACAGATTCGGCAGTAGTAACATTCCATGAAATAATATGGTAATAGAACTCTAAATCTTCACCACTAACGTATTGTATAATCTTTCTTAAGTCCTGGATTTTCTTATCGTTGATGGGTACTGTTTCGGAATAGGCTTTACCATTTGGGAGCTCTGGCCTTACGTTCGGTTTAACCAGTTTAAATGTGGAGGAAACCATACCGCCAATGAACTCGGAAACTTTTACATGGCCTGGACTTGTAGCGTCAAAAACAAATTCGCGATATTTTGAAACACTAAAAACGTTGTTTCCCTTTTCGAGAGGCTTGCAGCTTTTTTTGTAATACTGTGGCCACCAGTTTTTGTAATCAATAATATCCTGGTAAGAGACCCTTTTAAACTGAAATGGCTTGGTGATCCTACTTCTCAAAATCATGCTCTCGTATTCTTCTGGGAGATAAACCCTGTCATGTTTTCTGACTGCTCTTTTTAGTGTACCGAAGTCACGGTCACAAGGTAGGAAGGAGTGTCCTCGAATTGGGAAATAATGATAAACCTTTGAAAAGCGTCCAGTTTCCTGAAGAGCCAACAAAAATCGAACCATAGTATTATTTCGGTTCTGTCCAGGGCAACCGTCCGAAAAAATATGCAATTCTTGAACCTCTGCTGGTATGTGATTTTGTATATAGTCGTGTAAAAAAGTACACACTTCATTTGGCGTCTTTTTAGCCTGTCCTTCATGATAGGTATAAAAGTATCCACTGGAGTCCGTTAGATTGTGGATCTCAAATAAATATACCCATAACTGTCTAAAATAAGAAATTTCCTGTACGGGGATATTAGGAAGTGGTAGGTTTTGCATGTAATCGAATGTGATTCCAGCTACTTGAGGGTTATCTTTACATAACTTTTGAACTTCTTGTAGCTTATTATAAAATTTTTTGCCTCGCCTTTTATGCACCATTAATTCAGCTGCCACCACCCGCTTAGCGTTGTCATTTAGACTCGGATTTTTTAGTTTAGTTCCTAGTTCCTCACAAATTGAACAGACATCAACTTGGGGTCGCCCGAAGCGAAGTTGAAAGTTTTCGTTAAAATATTTTAAGTAATATTCATATTTTACTTTATTTAGTAATTCAGGGTACTTTTGAAGAAATAGGGAATGCATTGCCTTAACTGTTAGTGCTGCATCCAAGTAAAATATAGTTTTTGAACTATAATGTGCCTGTTTTTTTGGGAAGGAGTCTATGTGTTCTTTAATCTTGATAAGTATATTCGGGGGCAATACGTGAGGTCTTGTATTATGTCGTCCTCTCATGTCGAGGGGTGATTTTCCTGTTGCGACTAATTGGCATAAACGTTGAACCTGGTGATGAGATAGTGCATAAAGACTCATAAATGCTTTTTTGCAAATAATTTGGCGTCGATTCTCACTATTTAATGCAAAAAAAGAGAATGTATTACTTTTTTTAAAGGTATTATCTTCGGCGGGCTTATGTTTTTTACAAGATTTTACATCTATGAAACCCATTAGGAATGTATCTTGTTCGTTCTTTGGTTGACCGGCGTATAACTTGGCAATAATATTGCTTTTGACTTCTTCGGAAAAAAATTCTGTGCACTTCAGCTTACATCTGAAAATAAACGTACTTTTCAAATACAGTGTACGTGCACACATAGAAAGATCACATATATAATATGCAAACTTCATAAAAATAGGTCAAAAATTCGTTTCCCCAAGTTTTTGACACGTTTTAATAATGTTTTTTTTTTCTATAAATTCCTCCAAGTATATTGGGTAAGCATTTTACAAAAGTAAAAAATATAAATTATGGTACTTACAGACAGGGGGGACCGGTTTTCTTGGCTGCTTTAATATTTCCCGATGTACTACTCGTGTAAGATTCACCTGCCAGACGTGCATGTTTATGTTTTGTGGCCTTCCACATTTCTACGTTCCTAGTCCTTTTTCTGCCTTGCGGTTGATTAATCTCGTCACCTCTCTCACTTCCATCTTCATTATCTGAACTTTCCATTTTAATTTCAACAAATTATAAAATATTCTTTTTCTGGTTTTTCACACTCGCTAACCGGCTCAATAACTAATACAATTTAACCTCTAAAGACGACAACAATCAGCCGACGCAGTCGAACACGTATTGCTTAAGCCTTGGTTTCTTTGAACACTTCGTCGCGGTGAGCGGACAGTCCGTTAACCGTCGCGTTTTGACGATTTTATCCAACCAGAGTATTTAAATGGGAATGGTTTTCTTGAATCCGCTTAGCTGAACAGGACGGCGTCATGCCGCTGATTTGTCGCGAAGAGTCGGTTGATATCTGTTGAGTTTGATATCAGCGGAATCGTCGGCGTGTGCGGAGACTATATTGTTATTAATTTTAAAACAATGAGTGACAAATTCACACATACAGATGACATCATGACTTTATTTTTAGGTTTCTTGGAAATTATGTCCTTTATAAAACTCAACACGAATTCAAAAAGATCTGTAGAAAGTCTAAAATACTCCCTAATTTTGGTTTCATTTCCAAAAAGCCTCCGCTGCACAGTGATATTAAAGGCACCTTCTGTATCGCGACAGAAAAACAACTCATTCACTGGCTTATTGGAAACTTTGACGGTTGCAATTGCCAGTTCCTCTTGTTCTTCCTCTTCCAATAATAATAACAACGCAAACAATTTATTTGCAACCATTTTAGTACCTTTCGTTTACATTCATAATACATAAACAGCACGTACAGACATAGAGAAAGTATCATTTTCTATATTTTTTAACAAACCACCTCGGGCGAAAATTGCTGTCCTCAGCGGTCGACGGACTGTCCGCTCACCGCGACGGAGTGTTCAAAGAAACCAAGGCTTTACTGAGTGGAAGAACGGTCCATGCGACGCACATGGACCGTTCTTCCGCTAAGTCTGTTTCGCAGATGGGTAACCGTAGGCAAACGGTATTGAATTTTAGACCATTTTTCGGCTCAGTCGATGGATGGAGGTAATTTTA